TACTGCCCACAAAAGTAACGGAGGCAGGCAAATCTCTCTCTTTCAGCTACTTCTCATTTCAGTCTCCAGAGTACCTCCTGACAACAGAGGTTCACAACGAGACAGTTCCATCTGCCCTGCATGCCTCTGCTTCCAGGAGAAACCCTGCGGGTTTAGATTAGAAAGAGCTACAACAAGGGCACATGCTCCTGCCATAGCTGGTTCCTAATCTGGCTCTGTAGGAGCTATGCAGCATGGTAGAGTGACTATAATGTTTAATCAATTACGAACATATTAATTAGTAACAGTGACAATTTTTATATTATATTATGCATAATATATTTAAGTTTAGGAGGGGCACTTTGAATCTAAAAAATTTGAGAACTACTGCTCTAAGTGGTTCTGCTATGCCAAAGGTGCATGTCTCTGATCAAAACAATATCACATGGGAGGAAGAAAGTGAAGCCCAGTTCCCTCATCAGCAGGGATCCTGGTTTTCTCTGATTCAAAACAACCTCCAGTTTTTGGTTAAAAAAAAAGTAACCCCAAATCCATATTTTTCCATGATTTAAATGAAATACCACTATATATAGGTCTATAAATCAGTGATGTTTCACTTAAAATGTGGAAAAATGTGGATTTGGGGTTACTTCTTTTTAACCAAAAATTGGGGATTTTTTTTAAATCAGAGAAAACCAGGGTCCCTGCTCATCAGGGACTTATTAACACCACAAAGAAAGCTCCAGCACTACAGCAAAGATCAAGAGAAGAAGAAACATATGGAGCCTCCAGCCTCCATGGAAAGTAAACAGAATAGACCTGTGATAGTGATATCTTTGGAAGACTTTAAAATACTGTGCTGTTAGATGCTGAGGACATTTCAGTAAGCTGGAGTTCCTTAGTTCCAAAATACCTTTCAAGACCTTTCTGTTTAGGCAAGCAGCTAGCAACCAGCACTAAGCTGAGATGTTGTTTAGTGGATATCTGCTTTATTTTGTTTTATTTTAATTTGTTTTATTTATTCTAGTTGACATTTAAGTTCCTGTTTCTCTTGCTGTAAGCTGCCCTGCGCCTGTGTTACAAAGGGCGGCATAACATTGCATGCATGCATACATACATAAATAGAAAATAAATAAACAAAAGATTAGGGCAGTGGTTCTCTACAGTTTTAGACTGTAGGTACCCCTTATTAAATTCAAAATACCCCTCAGAAGAACTCCAGCTTTTACATTTTCCTCTTTTCTTAACTATAGAAAAATAATAGAGTAATGTTTCTGTTGCAGAGACCTCACAAAAACCAAGCAGGTTTTGAAATCTCTGGCTTTATCTTGTGATTCATGTTTAGATGGTGCTAAAATTGTGTGGTACCCTTAAAAGTATCGAATGGCACCCTGGCTGAGAGTCAGCGGATTATATAAATATATTATAAATGTATAAATGTCCCATTCAGAAAAGGGGTTTTCTGATTCACTTTGTTACCGTGTTTCTCAACCTGTGGGTCACAACCTGCTTGGGAGAAGCTTCACAAAAAGCAATCAAGGGGTCATAAGGTGTTGAACATTCTGTTACAACCTAAAATAAAGATTGTTCATCCATCACTACCCATCTAGGTAGAGTGGTTCTTCAACGTCTCTCTTACTTCTTTACTAGCCATGCAAAACACAATCTATATTATCGGACTTCTTTTTTAATTGTATACTAAATCTAAGGGGATAGTGTCCATTATTTACTGTAAGACAGTTGCCAGCCTAAAAAGATTGAAAAATATAGGAACCAGGAAGAGATCTGAGTATGTACTGTATTTTGGAGGAGAGCTGTATTGGAATGCACTGTCAAATACTGCATAATATTCTAATTTATTAAACTTGGACCAGCAGAAGGGTAGACGACTAAATGAAAAATACTAGTTAATGCGTAAGTGAATGAAGAAATATGGCAGTTCATATTTTGGGAATAAAAGACAGAGGTTTTTTTCTCAGATTATATATTATAATATTGATAAACATCATCTGAATAAACATCTTTATTAAAATATATGTATTTGTAGCCAGATTTTATGTAAATATGTAAATGGGTCCAATTTAATGATCACGCAGAGACTGACTTGCATGTGATACCAACACTCTTTTATATTTAGTCTATACAGTGTTCCATCTTTATTGAATCTTTGGAAATTAAATTATTCAGTTTTGTCTTCTGTTATAAATGTCTTCCTTTCAAATAACGCTATGCATGTGGCTTCTTCTAACAAAAACAGTTGGAGAATAGAATTAGAAGTCCTTGTGTGTCTGAGAGAAGTAGTTAGCTGTGTAAGTATGAAGTCATGCAGAACACTTTGAAAAATAAGGGCCTGATTTTCTACTGTCGTCAACATGTAGACCTTTACATCTAGAAAATAACTGGGTGTAAATCATTTCCATTCTGAGTGATGTATTCTAACTTGGTATAATTTTATGTCCATTCTCCACAGAAGTAAAGGACTATGAAATGTACAATGCAGTGGAAAATCTTTACACATGCTTGAAAAATAAGGAGAGTCAAGTGAACTGCACTTTGCACTAGCTCAACACAAAGTAGGACTTCAATAGCTTTTCCTTAGGATGGGTGTTTTAGTTTCTGTTTGTATTGTTATTTTACACAGTAATAAAGTTTCACTCAGATGGTTTCTTTATTTTCTTCGGCACTATGTGTACTTTGGACATTTTTCTGCACAGTAACTCACAGTAGCTACACTCCTTAAAAGGAATCAGATCTGAGAAACTTTCTTACTGGCCCAAACAAGTTTGACAGGTTTAATGTTGGTGCAGTGAAAAAACAGAACAGATTGATTCATCTTCAAAGTACACATTATTATATCCAGTTTTACCCATGAGTTCAATAGACACATTTGGATTGCTGGATGCCAAAGTAATGTGTTATTCTTAAATAAATAAAAAGTTAATGCAACAAAATGTGTCAAGTCAATCATGACAGCTAAGTGGATACTTGCAGGAAAAGTATCTTGAAAATTAGCAACGTATTTAATTTTGCAGATCCCTTCCTAAAACTTATCACTGCAATCAAATATTGTCAATTTACTTTCATAGTACAAAAATATCTAACCTTTGTGACATTAAAATGCCTAGTCATTAAAATAACTCACAAGCTATGTCCACATGAGCAAGGGCATGTGTTTGCAGCATCACAAATAGTAGCGGCACAAATTTGTGCAAATTTTGCCGCAATACTGGAGATCAGCAGTGGGCTGCATGGTTCAACATGCAACATGTGTGGTTTGTGGCACCGCAAAGAGGTTTGCGGTGCCACAAACTGCATATGCCCTCCCATCTGGATCCATCCATAGTGTTGAGATCCAAGTAAAACTGATTGCAGTCTAAGAAATGGGAAAGAGGAGCTAAGGCAAATAAGAAAGTAAGGAAAGTTAAGACATCAAATGTTCTCCTTCTGTAAAGATAAAATAGAAAAAAGAGAAGCATCTGCTTTACCTCCTTCCTGAATCCTAAGGACTTGTCAATACATGGAATTATTCAAAAAGAGCTCTTCCTGAATAATACCATGTGTGGTCATTCTTATTCCAAAATGAGAATGCCTGATTCCTGTTAAAACTGGTGCATTTTGCAAATAGTTACAGTGAGTGTAGGAATGAAGGTAACATGCAAACTTAATTAAATATAACTCCTGAATCACTTTGTTTGCAGGAAAAAGATTCCACATTTCTATTATTACACCCACTAGTCGTAATTATTTACATAAATATGTTTAATAACTGGAAGAATAGAAACCACAATCTCCTGGTGCTGTAACAATGGGTCCAAATGGCTTAAAGGAAATTGAAAGATGTATCAATTTCAATTTCGTTTAAGATGATTATACCTTTAACTCAGCAGCCGGTTCCAGTTTGAAATTTGGCTAAAGGGTCCTTCAAAAAGTACACTGTCTTGAAAAATGTTTTGCCATCCAATGCAATTGTTAGAAATAGTAGCTGAATTAAGTATTTTTTCCAAACATAACAAGACTTTGCATTTCTCAATCATGTTTCATCCAAAGACCTCAAACCACTTTATTAACATTAATAAGTTACATTTCACAAACAACTCTCTTAGAGGTTTTACCATTTCAAGAGGACCAGAAAGAGAGATACTAGGAGTGCCTATAGACGTGCTGGCAGGCTCGTCCAACACATAATTACAGCTCATTGTAGCAGTGTCCCTGCATTTCAACATGCGGCAGGGGCATGTAACTAAAGCTCATTCAATGAGCTTTAATTAAAGCACCCCTAACACCCTTTTGAAGTGTGGGAACAACTGCTATCACCATGTACAGATCAATATTTTGAAAAAACATGTTATAATATTGATTGCATTGACTGACTAGCACTGCTGTTCATTACTGATGCTGATTTATGTACTCCTCTTCTGTGTCGCTTAAGCTATTGGGCTTTCTCCCTTTATAGCATTTTAGTAGATGCCTCCCATGATGGAGGTGAGAGATGATCATTCAGAAATGGGTGAGACAATTTGTCTGCTAGATAACTAAGAACAAATAAAGCTAAACTTTTGACAGGGGTGTAGGTTGTAACTCCAACCAAAATGGTCCTAAGGCCTTATGTCACTTGTGTAGCACTGGCTTGATAGCCTGTTTGGATACTTTCTTTCCCTTAAATATGATAGCAAACATTTCGTTGGAAGTAAAAATTGCTTGTCTCCTCCATTCTAGAACAAATTAATGGAAAAAATAACTTGCCGAGGCTTTAGGAATTCTGGTGGCGGGGGGGAAATGACTATTTTATTCTTTGCCCAACTAGTGCTGAACATTTAGAATATTAAAACTTGGTAACACGACTGTAGTGGAAAATACATTACAACTCCTATTGCTGTCTAATTGCAGACCATCTGAAAATCATAGTCACCTGTGAGAAACATGCAATATTTGTTGGGTCAGACACCTTGATGAAAGGTGTTTGTGCCCAAAAGCTTGCTAAGATTTTTTCCAACTATTTGAGCTGGTCTAATAAAACTTACCGGATTTACCCGAAGAACTTTGTCAAATTTTGACATAATCTTCTCCTTGAAAAGGCAATATATATGGTATCTTCTTCTTCTTTGGCAGTCCCTCATAGTTGAGGATTATTGTCTTTCATGATTGTCTTATCTGTGTGTCCAAAGATGGCTGACGATGAGCCCTATTTGAGAGTGACAGACTTTACTGCACCTCGGACATGTATTTCCATGGGGGGGGGGGGGACACTGGTTTTTTTTTTTGGTCTGTGATACACTGTTTCTGTTGCTCCTGCCTCTCCATCTCTTGTTGTTATCATGACGTTTCAAAGTAGTTATTGAGAAGGCAATATAGTACAGTTTAATTAAAGTTGGCTTGAGTGTATAAGATCCTGATCACATATCAGGTATCATATATTGTATGTTTTGCTGAGTTGTCTGGAGTTGTGGCTGTGCACTAAAATATATCAGAGTAAATACTGTGTTATCTTGCATGTAAAATGCCCCCATATAAGACATGAACTTTGTTTATGAAAGACAGAATGAAGAAAAAAATATCTTTCCTTGAAAATACTGGTAAGTAGCAGTAAGTAACTAAGTAGAAGCTTCTGCAGAAGGAGTCTCTGCCAGTTGAAAAAGAAAGGATCAAAAGCGAGAACTAGGGAGCCCTATATGCATCATTGCAGTGTTATATTCACTTCCTTCAACCCCCAGACACAGAAACTGCTGTGACTGTATTTTTTTCACATATAATGCGCATCCCCAATTTCCAGCAGGGGATTTTGGAAAAAAGGTATGTGTTTTATGGGAGAAAAAATGGTAAGTAAAATATTTCAGTGTAAAATTCAAAGTTCAGTGTAAAATAATCCAGTGTAAGTTGAGGATATTTTTAGTACTTTATAAGATAGCTATTTGTCTAGGCATATTATTTCAAAATTGGTATCTGTGTTACCAATTGCTTGCAGCCATAGTGTGAAGAGCACTGCCCACCACAGCAGGCAAGTTGGAGAAGGGGCATGGGGAGGGCAGATCAAGGCCCCCACAGTGAGGGAGGGAGTGGGGCAGAGACAGCGGCTGGGGTGAATGGGGCCCCAGGGTGGGTCATGGGATGCTCAGACCCTGGGTGGCTCATCTAATGGTGTGTGGGGGGAAGGCTCCTGCCACTGCATGCACTTTGGGAGAGGCCCAGGGGGTATGGGCCCCCCCCAATCTGTGCATAGGGCAGAGACGGACTGCCGCTGAAGGCTGGGCTCTGCGCCCCACTGCCAGTGCCTTGGGAGCCAGCAGTGGCTGGCACATAGCAGCATGCAGAGCCCAGCTTGCAGCAGTAGCCTGCCTCTGCCCCATGCATAAATCAGGGGGCACATGGCTGCCAGGCCTCTTCCGACGAGCATACAATGGGGGGGGGAATCCTCCCCCCCCCACCCTGCCCCATACCCCTGAATGAGTTGTCCAGGCTATGAGTGTCCCATGACCCACCCTGGGGTCCCACTCATCCCAGTCCCTGCCCCTGCCTCTGTCCCACTCCCTCCCTCAGTGTGAGGGCCTTGATTTGCTCCACCCCACCATGCTCTTTCCTCTTTCCCAATTTATCTGCTATGGTGGGCAGTGCTCTGCATTCCATGTAGCTGCAATCCTGGCCACCTGCAGGGTCCTTGGCTGTCTGTGCATGCCCCCCCCCGCTGGTGTGGGACAAATTTTGTGGTTTCTGAGCAGTCTGCGAAATTAAAATTTCTCAGGGCCCATGGTACATACGGACAATGCAATCAGAGCTCCACACAATGACGTAAGTTTGTTTCTGATAGCAAAACCTACACCGTGATCTCTTTTTACTCCTTCAGGTTTGCCATGCCAGTAAATGGTGTAATCCTTCTCTTTTATGAAGCCTGTATTTGAGAGCCAAGTTTTCAAAAGAGATGCAATATCAATTCTGAAATATGCAAGCTCTTTACTCAACACGGCCATTTTCCTCAGGTTCAAATCCAAATCAAAGTTATACCCAGGCATCAAAGTCCATATATTCCAGCAAGCAATTCTGTTTATAAAATCAGTTGAGCCAGGATATAGGTAATGAGGCAAGGGTTGTCTGACCCACATTTTCTAAGGCCATCCTCATGCGAGGCGAGCAGGCCATCCCTAAACAGGGCTGCTTGGAAATCCTGGTAGCTGCCTCAGGGTCCTTATGCCTCTCTTGGATCCCTGCGACCATCTTGCCAAGACCTTAAGCGCATACACCTAGGCAGAGTTATGGAGGAGGGGAGGCTGCCATAGACTTGTCATCCACTCTTTAGACCACTGAGCCAAAATCCAGTGACACAGAGGTTGTAGCTTCTGACAGAGAGCAACCTGAATAAAGCTATGAACTGTCTGTCACTTCAGCATGAGTGCCTTTTCTGTAGAGGTCAGGTCTCATAGCCTTTCTTCCACTAAGAGGTGTTCACAAGGCAGCAGAGGATGCAGTTTAATGTCATGTCCAGGACCTTAAAAATACATAAAAACTTAAAAATAAAATAAATGTTTAAACCATCTTCACAATAACATCAGCAGTACCTGCATGTTATGTATGGCTGCTGAGAAGTCATGAAATAACGTAAAAATATGAATATGAAGAAAAAGCTAAATTAAGCTTAAATATCCAAAAAAGTATCAACATTCTTAATTGTAAAATAATCATTTTGATGTTAACTTTTATCAAAAGCTTCAAATCAGAAATAAAAAGCTAATTTCCAAATGTCAAAGATTCCGAAAACATGAAATTTCCTTATTTCGTTTAGCTCTAATTGCAAGTTCTTTAAGCTCATCAGTAGTACTTTTTTGGAAAGGCACAAAGAGGAACAACATATTTACTCTGAAAGGGGAACCCAGAATTGCCCTAGTGGAGCCTAATGGGCCTGATAACATGATGCTGGGGGGTGGATCTGGCCTGCAGGCTGACTTAATCTAATACAAATACCCAGAGGCATAACAAAGCAGCCAGGCATCTGGGGTAGCAAAACACGTATGGGTAGCAGTGACCTTTGGGTGCTGCCGCGCCACTGTGCAATCATGTGGTTCCAGAAACAGGTGATATTTTTCTGTCCCCACCTCCAAGTTGATGCCCGGGGCTCCTGCTCTAGTCTCTAGCCCTAGTTATGCTACTGCAGATATTCAAAACTAAGCACGAAGCAAGGAAACTCTTAAGATATGGTCATTACTGCTCTTATTATACTTATACAGTGAATACTGCTCTAAAATAATAAGTTTTTAGCTCACATTTTAAAAACCTTTATTTTTTCATCCTCTCTCTTTTCTGCCTCAGATCCAACGCACTGTTTACTCCCAGAAAAGTTCTGAAGCAAGAAAGAGTATCATCTTTGTAGTGTATTAATTGTTGTTCTAACAATCAACAGATGTCAGGTTTGTCTGAAGTTATTTAACAGTATACCTATAGCTTCAGGACCAAATGTAGTTGTAAGCCGATTAAAAGGAAGAAGGGGCAATTTATTTTTAAAATTAGGAGACATTATTACTGTATGCTTACATCATCAAATTATATGATATAGGAGCACAAAATTCATTATTGACAGACTAGTGCTGTTGTAGTAATTTCCTTTTAAAAGTTTAGGCATTCGTAATTCTTTTCCATCTACTGTCATCCAAAATGAATTCTGTTAAAGCAAATTAACTGCTTAATAATTAAGATGCAACACCAGTCTTTCATAGGTATCCCATCATAAAATTTTAAAGCAGATTTTGGGGAAGGAGTGGGTGTTAAGGATGCTTTCTTTCTTTCTTTTTTTTTTAATCACTAGTAGTTCTGTAATTACTGTATTTCTCCCAAATTACTGTAATTACTGTAATTTATAAATCCCTTGTGCAGAATTCCACTAGAAATATTCCCAGAAAATGTTTATTCTCCATCAACAATGATTTTTTAACATCTGTCAGACAGCTAGCCAATTTTTTATATCTTTAAAAATTTAGTACTCTGCAATATCAATAATCAGAATGTTGTGCACTACCAATACCTTAAAAATCTAAATATAACAATCTATGCAATTACCTTTAATCAATAAAATGTGTAATTGCATCCAAAACTGAAATAAGTTTTGTTTGACAAGGTTTATTTTCCACATTGATTAATATTAACTGTAGTCCTATTGTTTAGGTCTTTATTTACGTAATCCTGCATTGGCTAGTCAATTATTTTTCCTAGTCTTGTCATCTACAGCTGTGCAGTTCATTTTATTTACCAATGGCTCTTGGTAAAACAGTAGCGCTTCTGCAGTCTCTATTGATTAGTGAATCATGGTTTTTGGCTATTTGATAACTTGTTTTGTAAAGAGCTCGCAACTGACATACATATTTTTCTGTTTACATTTGTCTCTCAAATCAGTTTCACTTATAGTTTTCCCAAGCTTGAAAAATTATTTCTGTTGAAGCACTAAATGTATATATATTACTGGGAAGGATTGTCCTCTATTTGCTCATATGATTACTGGTGCCTACCCAACCACCAACTTCCAATACAGCAATTAATTCACCTGTATTAAATGCTTCTTTATCCATCATAGTGGAAGTCCAAAATAGAGTTTCTGTATGTTGGGTACAATAGCCTTTGGGTTAGAAAGTCCTCGTTTGTAATTTTGAGGAATACTAATGAGATTTTCCTACTGGCTGCATGGGACTTCAGGCACACATTAGTCAAAGTCCCCACAGCAGCAAGGTTTTCCACACATTACAGACAGGTTTTTAAGGAGTATGATACAATATCATTATACAAAGCCCTGTTTATTACAATGCCCTACTTTAAAAATCCCAACAGCAACCACTTTTTTAATAATATGATACAGCAGATTGACTAACCCTATTATTGCAAACATCCTCTTTTATTGACTTTTCCCTGACCAATGAGGGGATGGTTATAACGAGGCTGCATTGTATTTTGTCCCGTAATGTTTAATCCAAAGGTTTGCAACAGAACCCCAACAGTAACAATAATCAATTCACATTCAGTATCCTCCAGTTCTGAGATATTATAATAAGCTTAAAATGGGTAATGTTGTCTAATCAGTGGCACTTCTATTAAACCTGTCCTTCTTAAGCAGGTTATAATCAGAAGTTTAAGCATATAAATCATA